GTGATGTTTAATTGCATTCTTTATCTCTAGGTGATAATAAATGAGGTCACAGCCTTCACAGCCTTCATTCCAACAAAGAGCTTCCGCTCCTCAGTGGCTGAACCCAGAAAAAATATATTAGAATCAGAAGTCTTTCAAGTCAGACGCTTTGATGCAAAACAAGTAGGTTCGATGAAATATAATTAGTTAGCGCTCACTGGCTGGGAAAAGCATTACAAGGAAATGGAAACCAACAACAATTCTCATTAATAAGTCACAATTAAGTAATAGAACAATAAAATTAGGCATAATCTATTTATGGAATCTATACCATGTAGGATAACAGAAAATGGTAGGCTGTGGAGGTAGGATGCAGGATTAGTAAGGTGGGCAGAGTTTTGAGGTGAAGACAAAACAGTTCCGAGGAGGAGACGACTACAGTGTTTTGACCGACAAGGACGGTCAAAACACTGAACCATTTCTAAAAGTCACCCAAATTCCATCGTAAATCAACTTAATACACATTCAATCTAATATACTGTACCTTAGACCATCAGATCAAAGACCAATAAAGGAATAACCAATCTATGACTACTGAAGGTTACATTACATTAGCACACTCACAGGTTTACAATAAATATTACAATTAGCTATGTCTACAAACACATACACTACCGGTCAAAAGTTTTAGAACACCTACTCATTCAAGGGTTTTTCTTTATTTTTTTACTAATTTCTACATGGTAGAATAATAGTGAAGACATCAAAACTATGAAATATCACATATGGAATCATGTAGTAACCAAAAAAGTGTTCTTCAAATAGCCATGATGACAGCTTTGAACACTCTTGGCATTCTCTCAACCAGCTTCACCTGGAATGCTTTTCCAACAGTCTTGAAGGAGTTCCCACATATCCTGAGCATAGCCAGTGGTGCGCGAGCATATGTTGGGTGCTTTTCCTTCACTCTGACTCATCCCAAACATCTCAATTTGGTTGAGGTCGGGGGATTGTGGAGGCCAGGTCATCTGTTGCAGCACACCGTCACTCTCCTTCTTGGTAAAATAGCCCTTACACAGCCTGGAGGTGTGTTGGGTCATTGTCCTGTTGAAAAACAAATGATAGTCCCACTAAGCCCAAACCAGATGGGATGGTGTATCGCTGCAGAATTCTGTGGTAGCCATGCTGGTTAAGTGTGCCTTGAATTCTAAATAAATCACAGACAGTGTCACCAGCAAAGCACCCCCAAACCATAACACCTCCTCCTCCATGCTTTACGGTGGGAAATACACATGGAGGTCATCCGTTCACGGCAGTTGGAACCAGACAAAAGGACAAATTTCCACCGGTCTAATGTCCATTGCTCGTGTTTCTTGGCCCAAACAAGTCTCTTCTTCTTATTGGTGTCCTTTAGTAGTGGTTTCTTTGCAGCAATTCGACCATGAAGGCCTGATTCACACAGTCTCCTCTGAACAGTTGATGTTGAGATGTGTCTGTTTCTTGAACTCTGTGAAGCATTTATTTGGGCTGCAATTTTTGAGGCTGGTAACCCTAATGAACTTATCCTCTGCAGCAGAGGTAACTCTGGGTCTTCCATTCCTGTGGCGGTCCTCATGAGAGCCAGTTTCATCATAGCGCTTGATGGTTTTTGCCACTGCACTTGAAGAAACTTTCAAAGTTCTTGACATTTTCCGTTTTGACTGACCTTCATGTCTTAAAGTAATGATGGACTGTCAATTCTATTTACTTATTTCAGGTGTTCTTGCCATAATATGGACTTGGTCTTTTACCAAATAGGGCTATCTTCTGTATACCCCCTTACCTTGTCAAAACACAACTGATTGGCTCAAACACATTAAGAAGGAAAGAAATTCCACAAATTAACTTTTAAGAAGGCACACCTGTTAATTGAAATGCATTCCAGGTGATTACCTCATGATGCTGGTTGAGAGAATGCCAAGAGTGTGCATAGCTGTCATCAAGGCAAAGGGTGGCTATTTGAAGAATCTCAAATATAAAATATATTAGGATTTGTTTAACAATTTCTTGGTTACTACATGATTCCATATGTGTTATTTAATAGTTTTGATGTAGTTACAATGTAGAAAATAGTAAAAAATAAAGAAAACCCTTGAATGAGTAGGTGTTCTAAAACTTTTGACCGGTAGTGTATGTATAATGAATGAACTAGTCCCCCAAGCTCGTCCTTTTAGAGCGGTGAGCCATTGAATGCTCTAATGCTGAGGGACAGAGAGATGACAGAGAGGCCACCAGACTGTTGAATGATTTTACTTTCTCAGACTCCTCCAAGTAACATCTGAGAGACTGTTTGTATGTGTGTGTGTGTGTGTGTGTGTGTGTGTGTGTGTGTGTGTGTGTGTGTGTGTGTGTTAGAGATATGTCTCTCCAGCTCCTCCCTGGCTGGCTTGGATAGAGAGGAGACGTTTCGTTCTGTACACTGGAGGTCTGCCTGCTTCACCTCGGGGATTGGGCTGACAAAGCACGACACTGATCAGGTGGGAGTTCTCTAACTCTGCTGCTTGGCTTCCAAATAAATAATGTACAGCTGTCATCCACCACCACCTCTCCTCCTCCTGTTTCCTCTCTCTCTCTACTGGAGACACTACTGGAAGATTATGAGGGTATTATCAAGCCTTCTCCTTTCAATCAACAATATCGCTAAATTGGTTTCTGAGTTAGTTCTTATTTTGTTATGACGTGCATGCAGAATAACTTCAGAATGTAATTGCATTTAATATTTGTATTTGTTAATGATATTGTGATACTGTGAAGCCAAAAAAGACATACAAGATCTACAACAGAGAGAAAAATTAAGCAACTCAACATAGAAGAAAAACAATGTGTGTGTATAGCCATACACTTGATCTCCAGCTTAAATTTGAACCAGAAAACCATTCCTCTCTGTAGACAGGAGAGAGCCTGGGAAAGCCAGTATCTGTTGTGGGGCAACAGTGCCCCCTGTTGGGTGTTTGAGGAACCACCTCTCAACAGATTAGTGAACTGTGGGCTGGCTGTTATAACTCGTACACTTATCAATTGATGCAATTGAAATACGTCTCTCATGTTGCATTGTGTCAGAGAGACAGAATACTAAACAATGCATCATAAACAACAATTGTTAATCCTAGTGTTACCATAACAACCAAGGGAACCATTAGGTTAACATTTTCTGATGAAAAGCTGCAGATGCTGTCCATTTTGATGGACATGTATGGTCTGCTGATACTGTACAGATACAGACTCCCATAGGACTAAAAGGAAAGCAGGCTCTTGAGGCCATCATTAATAAGCTCCCTGCTCTCTGGTTATAGGTCTACTTCAGTGTCAAGAGGGACAAATGCAGAATTAGCATCCATGTGGAAGCCTGGATGGATCCCCTGAGTAATGTTAAGTAAACAGCCCCTCTGTATTGAGCAGGTAACAAAGGACAGTGTGTGTGTGTGTGTGTGTGTGTGTGTGTGTCTGTGTGTGTGTGTCTGTGTGTGTGTGTGTTCGACAGTGTCAAGTATTTACCTCAGAATCCTAATTTCTGCCCACGAGCTCCAGCACTGCATGTGTATCCTTCAACGGCTTGAGTGGACTGGGCCATCTGAAGGTTTACCTGCCATCCGACATGCTCCAGCTATCAACCATACAGACATCACAATCAACAATTAAACAAATAAACAAACAAACACTGAACAAGTGGATACAAACTATATGAATAACATCAGGTCATTCATTGTCATTTGCGTTGCCATCTTAAAGAAAACTTCAGAAACAATATTAAGAAACCATCTTGAGAAACAATTGTGATCAGTTGGATGGCACAGTGACAGCACATTAGAGCAGAGGCCTAAAAGGCCCTAAAAGTTGCTGATTTATAAATGGACCCTCCAATCTGCATTAACAGTGGAATATATTAAGTGTGCTGAGAGGAGGGAGAGCGGTAAGCGTTTTATGATGCAGAGTGGCATTATAAACCAGGAGTTATCTCTGTGTGGTCCCAGGTCGTCACAGCACCAGGTGTGATGACACCGGCCCCAGCCTCCCATGGGGGACAACGCTATGTCCCATATGGCACCCTATTCCCTATAAAATAATGCACTACTTTTGACCAGGGCCCATAGGCATTGTACTATATAGGTGTCTTTTGGGACACCCCCAAAGACTGCTGTCGCTGAGGTTATCATGACAACATCACAGGCTGCTTTGAGTCTCTCTTCTATGGTTTTAAAGCGGCTATCAGCAGTTGAAACAATAACAAAGTGTTCCCCTCGCCACTGTTTCACTAAAGAGCTGAGGGACGGAGAAATGTAACAAATCTCAAAATCATAGATAGAGCTATGGACTGACAATCCATGATATAAAAATAATTGTTTTAACAATGTTTTGAGGCTATACAGTGTTTGTTTACATTACCGTTGTTTACAAAAATTGGAGTAAAACAAGCTTATATTTTTGGTTCTGATGGGGGTACCACAGTTGAACTAAGCTCATGAGGCATTTTTAAGTTATATTCTTCAAGAATCAATGGGTACATATGCATAATTTATAAGTCACAAAATGGATGTAGCAACTGCATATTTCTCCTTTAACCTACACAGAGATTTTTCTCATCTTTTATGTTCAAATTATCAGTTTGGATCTGGCAGTTTCCTATGCATGCCAATGTTGATCGGGGCTCCAGCTCAACTCGACTGGTTTAATGTAACAAAAAAGTGCAAAAGTTGGCTGCTTTCATTGCATAGCCACCAGAAATGTATACCTCACGTACGTACGTACGTACGCAAGAATGCAATTAGGTACGCAAAATGGCCGTTCTGCATTCTTGCGTAGCAAAAATACACAAACGTGTGCAGTGACGCAATTTGCAAATCGACGCAACTATGCAGGATCGCCATTTTGCGTAGATAATTGCATTCATGCTTTTTGTATGTTTAGAAGTTATAAATTAGGCTTTATCTGCATTGCAGGAGCATAATTATTGCACAGCCTTTGCAAAAATTTTTGTAGGAGACTCAGGAAGTTTTCTGCACATTTTTGGGGGCGAAAATCCTCTGCCTGACCTTCTCCACGACATCAGGGCAGGCAGTGGTCCAGGCCTGGCAGAAGGCCGCCGCCTTCTCTGGGGTGAGATGGATGTTCTCAAACTGCTGCTTCAGGGAGGCTGGCTTCACATTATGATACACAGCCTGCAGAGGGGTAGAGAGAGGATCTGCAATAGGCCTCAAGGTACTTTTTTCTTGGCTGTAGCTAAATACTAGCCTGGGTACCACACCTTGTGGCAAGGAGTGGAATAATAGCTAAACAGACTGGTTCCTAGGCTAGCTCAATACATGTTAAGATGCAGATTCTGCATGCATGACAGCAGTCACTTGACAGAATTGTTCTGCAAAAAAACGTATTGTATTGTACTGAGCATTAAACTAAGCTTTACTTAGAACTACACTACCGGTCAAAAGTTTTAGAACACCTACTCATTCAAGGGTTTTTCTTTATTTTTACTATTTTCTACATTGTAGAATAATAGTGAAGACATCGAAACTATTAAATAACACATATGGAATCATGTAGTAACCAAAAAAGTGTTAAACAAATCAAAATATATTTTAGATTCTTCAAATAGCCACCCTTTGCCTTGATGACAGCTTTGCACACTCTTGGCATTCTCTCAACCAGGTTCACCTGGAATGCTTTTCCAACAGTCTTGAAGGAGTTCCCACATATGCTGGGCACTTGTTGGCTGCTTTTCCTTCTCTCTGCGGTCTGACTCATCCCAAACCATCTCAATTTGGTTGAGGTCGGGGGATTGTGGAGGCCAGCTCATCTGATGCAGCACTCCATCACTCTCCTTCATGGTCAAATAGCCCTTACACAGCCTGGAGGTGTGTTGGGTCATTGTCCTGTTGAAAAATAAATGAAACTCCCACTAAGCCCAAACCAGATGGGATGGCATATCGCTGCAGAATGCTGTGGTAGCCATGCTGGTTAAGTGTGACTTGAATTCTAAATAAATCACAGACAGTGTCACCAGCAAAGCACCACCACACCATAACACCTCCTCCTCCATGCTTTACGGTGGAAAATACACATGCGAAAAATCTCCAATTTGGACTCCAGACCAAAGGACAAATTTCCACCAGTCTAATGTCCATTGCTCATGTTTCTTGGCCCAAGCAAGTCAAGACTGGGTCTTCCATTCCTGTGGCGGTCCTCATGAGAGCCAGTTTCATCATAGCGCTTGATGGTTTTTGCGACTGCACTTGAAGAAACTTTCAAAGTTCTGGAAATGTTCCGTATTGACTGACCTTCATGTCTTAAAGTAATGATGGACTGTCGTTTCTCTTTGCTTATTTCAGCTGTTCTTGCCATAATATGGACTTGGTCTTTTACCAAATAGGGCTATCTTCTGTATACCCCCCGCCCCCGCCCCACCTTGTCACAACACAACCGATTGGCTCAAACGCATTAAGAAGGAAAGAAATTTCCACAAATTAACTTTTAAGAAGGCACACCTGTTAATTGAAATGTATTCCAGGTGACTACCTCATGAAGCTGGTTGAGAGAATGCCAAGATACTTATTTTACATTGTGAAAACCATCATCACCAATAGCGCCATAAAATAGTTGCAGTGTGCATACTTTGGATACTTGTGCACAGTTTATACATAATTCCTTGAATTGCTCTGCATGTGACAACTAGAAATTCTCCCTCAGCTTCAGACTGGGAAACAGTACACTGAACGCTTGAGTGGAAAGGTAGGTTAACTAAGCAACAATGAATTAAAGATTCTTTATTCCAGCTACAGTTGAGGCGGACATCGAGGCCCACCTACCTGTTCTAGAATGAAGGCAACAGTCTCCAGCACCAGACTGCTTGTCCAATGACAGAGCACTCTGCAGTTTCTGTTCTTCCTCCTTACTGAACGTGTGCTCTTCCTGAAGGAAACAAGTAACTAGAACTTAAAGGCTTTGATTTCTGGATAAACAGATGGAAATGAGGTCTTAGAAAACATCTACCAGAAAAAGTATTTAAAGGTATCAGTACTGCATCAAAACACAATAATGTTGACGTAAAGATCCCTGCCAACTAATATCAACACTTATATTTTGGAGAAATTGTTTACCTTCTGTAAGTTTAAGAAATATTGCCTTGTACCCTCATAAGGGAGGATAATGAAAGTTCACAGAAGTAATAAGTAATGGTAGACCGACCAATTAGTTATGTTCAGCTGATAACTGTTTTCTTTCTCTTTCTTTTGTCTGGTGGTCAAACCCCTGGACAAGCCATCCCTCTCTACCTCCCTTTCTCACTCTCCAGTTTATGTCACCTCTCCCAGGTCTTACTTACAATTACCCATAAGCCCCCTCTCTTTCCATTTACTGCAACCAGCATCCTCACCCACTTAGCACCGACCCATACCGGACTTCCATGGACGTTGAAAAGTAGTTGAAATTTGGTCAGTCCACCCTGACCTTGATGTTAACGTCCACAGATGGACCGCACTGGACCAAATCGGAACCTATCATAGATGTACAGTATGTTTCACAAGTTTGGATAGTACAGTACAGTACCTTACATTACAGTGAGTAGAGCACAGTAGAGTGCAGTCCAATACAATACAGTAGTACAGTACAATACAGTACAGAAGAGTACAGTAAAGAAAAGTAGAGTATAGTACAGTAGAGTAGCGTACAGTATATTGTACTGTACTCTACTGAACTATAGTCTACTTTACTGTACTCTACTGCACTGAACTCTACCCTGCTGTATTGTACTGCATTGTACTCTGCTGTGCTGAGCTGTGATGTCCAAACTTGTGAAACATGAGGAGAATTACATTCATATCCATAATTATGCATTTCTGTGTAGTACAGATCAGGTACCCATGATGGCAGATATTTAACAGAGTTTTTGGAAAAATGTGGTCGCATAAAATCCTGAGGGAGATTTTACTGTAATTCCGTTACCAAAGTTTGAATCTGCACAGTTCTTCCACTAAATTCGTTTTAGTAAATTTTTCTGTGGAAATAGTAGTCATTGTGCATATAGTTGTATGGTTTGTTAAACTTTGAAATCAATGGTTTCTGTTTGGCATACATTTTAAAGTGAAAGAAACTGAGTCAAAGTGTAATTCCGTTACCATGGAACTGCCCACAACCCATATGAGGCTTATCATGCATGATCCAGTTTGTGTAGCCTGGGTGCCAGTCTAAAGCCCTATACGACATACGTGGTTTGAGGAGTTAGCGAGGTAACTTTGGTCAACTCTGAGTTCAACTCGGGATAACCGGCACCACGAAAGTGGCTCACCTTTTAGCCAGGTACATTTCTATGGTAACGAATCCTTCAGAACTAACCTGCTCCCGGCCGGGCTAACTCAGCGCTAACTCCATTTATCCTGAATGAAAGTGTGTGAGCCGCGAGTTGAGGACCAATGAAATCAGATTCCCTCCCTCTCGTAAAGATTGTGTCATCATTATTATTCAAATGTTTTTTTGTGTATTAAACATTTTTTATGTTAAAATACCTATCACATTACACATTTAGTAATGACAGAACGCATTTTAAACTTCACGCACAGAAAAACTTGTATGACTTAATACAATTATTTTATCGATAGGAGTGGGGGGAAAAGGTGCTTGTGCATTGTTAAGCACACCAAAGAGGGCATTAACGATAAGTAATAAAATAAAGACTGCACTTCAACAAGCCTATTTCACACCATAGCCTGCTGAATTTGCAAGATATCTTTTCTTTCATTTCATTTCGACTCGTCCATGGATTGATGTTTCAGCATTGTCTCAATGAAGAGTTTGGCGTTCGACTAGCCACGTGTGACATGCACCCGCAGTTACAAGACTGCTAGCTCATTCATGGACAATAACTACCTTCATTGTCTATTCATGTGGACACCCATTAAAATGTGTGGATTCGGCTATTTCATCTAGACCTGTTGCTGACAGGTTGTTACGGATACAGGTATCCTGTATGTGTATTTGTGTTTTTCCTCTCCTTCTGCCCTAATCACAGGTGTCCTTTGTGTTCCTGATTGGAGGTCGTTGGTGTGTCCCACCTGTCAGTCATCAGTTCATCTGCTGATTACTGAGGTGGACCAATCAGTGGCCACTTCTTCTGATTGCACCACCTGTTTCTGGTTTTCATTACCCAATCACATCACACATCCCCTTGTTTTAAAAGCCAGTCAGTTGTGTTTTGTGACAGAGACTCTTTTGTTTGTGAGTATGGATACTGTGGTGTCTTGTTTTTGTGTACTCACGCATTTGCTGTTAACCCCATATGGTAACTATGATGTTTGTTTGTTCCTGGGAAAAGGGGATTTTTAGCAAGTCGCCCTTGGGCATACACTACCCGTAGGAAAACTTTGTCTAAAAACACTAGTTAGACCTGAGCGGACCACCCACTGTATTTTTGTATGGTTAGCAGTAAGCTTAGCGGTTCTTGAGGCAGGCAAGATCAGTTTAGGGTTTTTTGACATTATTGTTTTATTCCTTGGGTCCTGCTCAGCCCCTTTTCCCCAAACCTTTACTGTGTTTATAATTAAAAAAAAAATATTTGACGGTATCTTTTTGGTTGTCGGTGTATTTTTGTTCTCACTGTTCCTGGTCAATATTCTAAATCGCATGAGTTATGTTACGGGTCTATTTTCCATCCACCCTAGACTTTTAAAGCCACAGGGTTCGTAACACAGGTGTATAAAATTGAGCACACAGCTATGCAATCTCCATAGACAAACATTGGCAGTAGATTGGCCTTACTGAAGAGCTCAGTGACTTTCAACGTGGCACCGTCATAGGATGCCACCTTTCCAACGAATCAGTTCGTCAAATTTCTGCCCTGCTAGAGCTGCCCCGGTCAACTGTAAGTGCTGTTATTGTGAAGTGGAAACGTTTAGGAGCAACAACAGCGAAGTAGTAAGACACACAAGCTCACAGAACGGCGCTGAAGAGCTTCAAAATCGTCTGTCTTCAGTTCCAAGCTGCCTCTGGCAGCAACGTCAGCACAAGAACTGTTTGTCGGGAGCTTCATGAAATGGGTTTCCATGGCCGAGCAGCCGCACACAAGCCTAAGATCACCATGCGCAATGCCAAGCGTCGGCTGAAGTGATATAAAGCTCACCGCCATTGGACTCTGGAGCAGAGGAAACGCGTTCTCTGGAGTAATGAATCACGCTTCACCATCTGGCAGTCCGACGGACGACTATGGGTTTGGCGGATGCCAGGAAAACGCTACCTGTCCCAATGCATAGTGCCAACTGTAAAGTTTGGTGGAGGATAAATAATGGTCTGGGGCTGTTTTTCATGATTCGGGCTAGGCCCCTTAGTTCCAGTGAAAGAAAATATTAACGCTACAGCATACAATGACATTCCAGACAATTCTATGCGTCCAACTTTGTGGCAACAGTTTGAAGACACTTTCCTGTTTCAGCATGACAATGCCCCCGTGCACAAAGCGAGGTCCATACAGAAATTGTTGGTCGAGATCGATGTGGAAGAACTTGACTGGCCTGCACAGAGCCCTGACCTCAACCCCATCGAACACCTTTCTGATGATTTGGAACGTGGACTGTGAGCCAGGCCTAATCGCCCAACATCAGTGCCCGACCTCACTTATGCTCTTGTGGCTGAAATGGAAGCAAGTCCCTGCATCAATGTTCCAACATCTAGAGGAAAGCCTTCCCAGAAGAGTGGAGGCTGTTATAGCAGCAAAGGCGGGAACAACTCCATATTAATGCCCATGATTTTGAAATGAGATGTTCGACGAGCAGGTGTCCACATACTTTTGGTCATGTAGTGTATCTTCTGGGCAAGGGAAGTTTTAAGCGTCCAAATGCTCATTCTGAACATTAACACGCATTGCTTGCGGTACGGTTTTGGAAACATAAGGAACTTTTCTTCATATCAGCGAGATAAGCATTTTCAAAAAACCAAAGTTTAAATTACTCCACACCTTGTTAGTGTTCCCACACAGCCATATCTCCATGTTATAGCACTTTACGGAAGATAGAGGATATCACCTGTGCTAATTAGCTATCTATTGTGCTCAAACACCTGTGTGTAAGCGTAACTGGGGGGAGGGGAGTGTAGTTTGTTGGCTGGAGGCACACACAGACATATGGATCTGTGCAAACCTGCTACAGTAAGTTTATATATATTTTTTTGAAATATTATGTCTAGCTAATATGAAAGATAAGTTACATATGTTTCAAAAACCATATCGCAAGCAATGGTTATTGACATTTCTAAACATTAAAACAGAGTCGGTATTGTAGTTCACATGGTCCCACCGGTAAGTGGTGCCTTGGGATAAGGCAGAATGCCTTGTTAATGCCTTCTAGAGTTAGCAGCAGGCGGACGAGGAACTCAGTCGAGGTCTCAACTTACTGTTGCGAGTTAAAATAGTACGATACACAAGGTGCAATTTCAAAATCTGGTTGTGCATCAGCAGATTTTCTCTTGGGCTATCAGTGACTGACATAACATGTCAGCATTATTTTTTTTTTGTTGGTATATTTGTCTAGAAGCCAGTATATGGGGGCCCCCTGGTCGAATTACCGGCCAGGGGGCCCCCATACATTTGTGTTAGTCAGTTCCACTCAGATATCATATTAAAAACTGCTAACATTTCTCTCCACCCTCCAGCAAAATGTGTAGAATTGCAGGAAATTAGCTGTAAAACAGAAAATGTTCCTCTGCCCCATGGCAAAAACAGTAGAATTGGATGAAAATAGCTAAATCTTCTCTCTGCCCCCTTGGCAAAATGTGTAGACTTGCAGCAAACTTGCTTCAAAACTGCAAAATGTTCTCTACTCCCCATCCCAAAATGGGGGCTGGGGGAATGGATGTGGGTACGCAGACCCCCAAGCAACTGCAGCCCCTCATGATCAGTTCAGATTTTGAGGCCCCACCCCCACCAAAGTTGCCCATCCCTAGGCTGGAGTTTGTGACCAACCAGTATTTAGAAACATGTTACGGCAATTCTACACCACATTACTTGTTCTGTGGAGACAGCTACCTTCAGGTGAAGTTTCTGCAGAATTCGTGAAAGTCGTCTGGATAATTTATTTAGGTCAATTGTGTTGATGGAAGTGACCGCTTCTTTTATTCTATGGATTGAATAAATTAAAATGTCAGCTTGTGCACACTAAACTAGCTAACAGAGATTAATGAAACTGCTGTCTGAACAGATGAACATGACTATATTTCTCATGTAAATATTGCTATAGACCCTCGTGCAATTTTGTAAAGATTCACTAGCAAGATTACTTTTTTGGCACTTCTCTTTAGCTACAGTATGTATCTCTTAGCCAGCTGGGCTAACATGGCTAGCTAAAAGTTTCAGATCAAACATCAAGCAGTCATGTTACCATGTACAATAAGTGTAAACTAGCTGCCTACCTTTGTTTCTTTGATGATGGCAGCCATCACTGTCTTCTGTATGTTTAACAAATGTATTATTCGTTTCAAAGCTGAAATCTGTCACTGCAACACACAGCCAACTTCCTCTT